ACTTTAAGTTCTCTGTTTGGTGTCCCTTTCATTTAGGTCCCTACTATAAAAACAACATATTACAAAGAATATAATTTGTAGAATGTAGGTAATAAATAATGGCATTGCCGTTCTGAATTATATAACCGTTTTGTTAATGTCGCGGACAGAGCTGCGTATTACAAAACAAGGCCACAGTTACACTGAGGTTAATAATAAAAATTACATTTATAATGGAAATTGAATTTTTCTCGTAATAAAAATGCAACAAGGATAAAGAGAAAAATTCAATTTCTCAATTCGAAACCGCATTTATCAAACTATTTAGATTTCAGGTGGAAAAATTGATGCTATTGTTTCTAACCAAATGCGTAAGGATTGAAATCATTTCGAATGCGTATATTACTAAACCGATTTTCGTTGTATAACTTGCCTGCTCAGGATAATCTGTTCTTTTTATTATCTGCAGCAAATGGTCTCTGTGTGTTACCACCTTTAAAGCCCTGCAATGGACATTGTCACCGCGATGCATTCGTACCAATACGAGCACAACATTGTTATTACGTAACCTACTAACAAATTAACCAACACATAACCTCAAAACATACATATGTCTTGATATAACAAAATGACTGATTTTAAACATATATCGACTTTAAATAAACGTGCTCAGTTTATATCTTACTAATTTAAAAGCAAAAATTTAGATGTTAAAGTTTTTCGCCTAAACGGCCCGCGATCCCGATGAAATGTGGCATAGATATAGAGCGTAGTCTGGAAGAACATATAGGCTACTCACTTTTGTTTTTTTAACTCCGCTCCGATGGAGTGTGGGGCGAAAGCTTTTTAATAAATAAATCTTAGTAAATCATTAGGGCTTAGCACGTGACTACAATTTGACCTATAGTAATAAAGACAAATGAAGGCTTGTCACTTTCACTAATTAACTTTTTTAATTAATGAAAACGGTTCCATTTCCACATCTCTTAATATAGAGTAGGTACATAGAAACTGCAACAAACTGTAACAATGTTTAATATCGTATTGTACATTTAATATTCGCTAGTAAACGTAAATATTTTAATAATTACAAATAATTTTATTTTTAGTGGTGGATATTTGGTTAAAATAGAAACAAAACTTTAAGACTCTTTTCTTAAATTTGTTTATTCATAAAATTGTCACAAAATACAATGTATTTTCCGGCCTACTTTAAATAGTTTCTTCAAAATATGCAATGTTTGGATATCGATAAATTTTCTTATTCATTCTTTCGGACAGGGGTCGGGAAATTACCTTCAAAAGGATCCCGTAATAATAAAACCGTACTTTCGTTCTTATTATGTTAGGAAACTTGATACTCCGCCCTTTATGAAATGAAAACCTTGTAATTGATTGTATAATATTATTCTTAATCTTAGCCTTCTTTCTAATATTATAAATTAGCTAATCCCCTGCGGCTTCATCGGCATGGAATTATAAAAACTTTATTTTATTGCTTACATTGGTCAAACTCTCAATTGCAAATGTAAAAATTACCGTTACCATTATAACCTTACTTCCGTAATGTTGGCAGCTTGTAGTTTATGGTACCTTTCCCACATGAAGGTTTTTTTTCAATTCATTTACCCCCTATGTT